TATTCTAAAATATTAAACAATTCCAATCCGATTTTTTAATGACACTAAATTATTATTATTTTTAATTTATCACAGTGCCAAGGATTTGAGCCTTCAATTTTTTATTCATCAGAAGCCTCCATTACCCAAATTTCTGTACCCTTGAACACACTAATGGTCATATAAATATAATCCTAAATAACCCCAACTGCCTTGCAAATCTTCAAATTAGGTCAAATTAATTATTCATCCATTTGATGTTTCTATTCCAATCTTTGATGCTTGTCATTTGGCCCTATATTCCAGCCCTTTCTTAATCCAAGACCTCCTACTCTCAAACTCCCAAGACTGCCTTTTTGTTTGTTTCTATATGGCTCCCCTTCTCCCCTCTCTAGGGTTCTGTTAATATATGAACATATATATACAATATATATATATATATATATCTGTGTGTATATAATTGTATTGTATTATATACACCAACATCATTTACAAATCTCGATGTCACCTTCTTCCCCTTCAAATGTTGCGCAACTTTACCTACACCCAAATATTTTAAGCTCTTGTTTTTGCTTGATGGCTGTGTGATTGATTCCATGTCTATTATTATTATTTGCTCGACTTGCTGTATTTGCATTTTCGCATTCCACAACTATCCTGCAATAAAATTTTCGTATCGAAGAAAACCACTAAGGATGTATGTGTTATGTGTCATTGACCCCAAAATGCTGCAACCACTAAGGATGCACCAATAACTATTTTTGGAACAACTTCAATTTTGTTAGCTGGCTTCTGCCTACCTTGGCTGTAAACTGTTCTTGCTTTGTAATTAAATTTCCCACATTTTTGGTTTTTGTTAGGTGGGTTCAAGTTTTCCAAGTGTGCAAATCTGTAGCATATTGTGTGTTATTATGTTAAGCTAATTAACCTAATTACTAATGATGTACTAATGTGATCAGTAACAAAACGTTGCAGGTTACATGGGTTGAGCATGCGGAGTATGATGAAAGCCAAGTCCACCAGCTATACCGACCCTTGTTAAGTTCCGGCATGGGCTTCGGCGCTCAACGGTGGGTCGCCACCCTTCAACGCCAATCCGAGTGCCAGGCCATTCTCATGTCCTCCGCCGTCCCATCCCGCGACCACACTGGTAATTTATCAATAAGTCAATCTACATTATTTAGTGGATTGATTAATATGGATAATGTTTCTCAATTGAGTATTTTTTGTAATAGCTATCACTACCAGCGGGAGGAGGAGCATGCTGAAGCTGGCGCAGCGGATGACAGACAACTTCTGTGCCGGAGTATGTGCATCGACCGTGCATAAATGGACCAAGCTTAACGCTGGGAACGTCGACGAGGACGTCCGGGTCATGACTCGGGAGAGCCTCGACGACCCCGGCGAGCCACCGGGTGTCGTGCTCAGCGCTGCCACTTCGGTCTGGCTGCCGGTCTCTCCGCAGAGGCTATTTGATTTCTTGCGTGATGAGCGGCTGAGGAGCGAGTGGGACATACTCTCCAACGGCGGGCCCATGCAGGAGATGGCCCACATCGCCAAGGGCCAGGATCCCGGCAACTGCGTTTCCCTCCTCCGCGCCAGAGTACCTTTTTTTTTTTCGCCCTCTGAAATTGTCAATTATTTATTTTATTTTTGGATAATTGGTGGGGAGGTTGGGGAGGCGTGAGGTCAATTTACTTAAAAATCAGAAATGTGTCTTTTTGTGGGGGGTGAAAAAGGTAAATGTGGAAAGGACAAGTCTGGAATTTGGAAGTATGTGTAGGGTTGTTTTGGGGTGGCAGTGTTTGTTTCGTTAGCCTCCCAAAAAGTCAAAAGTTCGAGGACGATTGTCAACTTCTTGTGCAGTTACTTTCTGACCTCACCTTTTCTATTTTTTTATTTTATTTTATTCAATGAGAAGAAAAAAGTACAGGGTTTGACTTAAATTATGTAGTGGCATGGGTGTAAATTAATTGGACACTGAGGGTCTTGTTTTTGTGATGGTACAGGCAAACGCAAACCAAGGCAGCATGCTGATCCTACAAGAGACACGCATAGACGCTGCGGGGTCGCTGGTGGTGTACGCGCCAGTTGACATTCCGGCCATGCACGTGGTCATGAACGGCGGGGACTCCGCGTACGTTGCTCTCCTGCCATCCGGGTTCGCAATCGTCCCTGATGGCCCAGGCTCGCGCGGGCCCATGTCCGGCAAAGGCGCCACTCACGGCAGCAGCAATGGCGGCGGGTGCGGTGACGACGGTGGCAATAGAGTGAGCGGGTCCCTCCTGACAATGACGTTTCAGATCCTTGTGAACAGCCTGCCGGCGGGCAAGCTGACCGTGGAGTCGGTGGAGACGGTGAACCACCTCATATCCTGCACGGTCCAGAAGATCAAGGCGTCCCTCCATTGTGAGAGCTGATGATCCACGTATCCGATCGTACTGGCATCACGTGATCCACCCTTATCTTGTAGCTTTTGTTTTTCTTTTGTTTTGTCTAGCTCTTGTGCTTTTGTTAGGAGACTTTATTGACGGTTGTTGTGCATGTGCATGGCGGTGGCGGAGGGCGGTGGCGTAAGTTATTTAGGTGGTGGTAGTTTTATTTTGTTGTGTGGGAGAGCGGTTGGGGGGAACAACGAGTAAATGTGGTGGGGGTATTGAGTCAAGAACGAACCGCACGTGGAGAGTCCTCGCATGGTGATAAGGATATACATACATGGAACTTGCACGTGCGTGTGAAGTTGCACACGTGTGTGTTCTTAGCACAAGGCAAGGGTGGTGGTTCGGGCATTGACTCAGGTCCACCCCTGTTTAATTCCAGAAAGTGAGTCTGGCTCAACATAGATTGTGAAAAGGAAAAAGTGTTGGAGAAATTGACCCTTTTTCGGAGTTATCGATTTTATTTCAAGTTTTCTGAATTTAATATCAGATATTAATGTGATGTTCATGACATGGTTTCAGTATTCATGTTCGGTTTTACAATTCCTGTACCATTAGAGTAAATTAGAATAATGTAATCCTAAAAAAAATCCAACTTGTTATTAAAAATATCAAATGAAATTCGCTTACTTTGTTTTTATTCCTTTTAACAAATGATAGTATATAAGGAAATGGTTCAAGTTTCATAATCAGCTAGTAATAATATGGTTTAAATCTACTTTTGACGAGAATCAAATTTAAAATTGCTCACTTAAAAATGAAGAGAAATATTATTAAACCGTAAGATTAAGTGACACTTACATTTTTTATTTTGAACAAAAGAATTGATAGAAATATAATGAACATAATCCATATGCATATAAAGAAAGGAGATGTGCATATATGTGTTTGTGGTAGCTGTAGAGATTTATTCTAGTTGTTTGTTTGTCAAAATCATATTTATTTGTTCTCCTTTGTTTTTAAATATTGTTGGGCAAACAGTGAAATATTGTGGTGAAAATGTTTGTGGTGGTGGTGGTGATGGGTGAGTGAATGTGGTGGAGGCAATAAATAAGGGGCAGAATGAGGTGATGGAGAGGCGAGAGGATCCTCGCGGGATCCTTTTTGTGAGGATTTTGGGGATTCTCCAATCACATTTGTTCATCGTACATCGTGTGGTCAGTTTTCATCCAGTACTGTTGTTGACCCTAAAAACTACTAAGTCTACGTGGCGCGCAGGCCGAGTAACTAATGAGCTAACTATGTCATTCAGTTGATGCGGGGCGTGCCAACTCGTCGGCCGAGGAGTAAAATGTGTTCATATTGCGTTGAGTGGGCTGCTGATTTCTTGATCTTGCGACTGTGGTTGAGGAAGGAACACGTCTCGGCCTTCGGGTTCTAGAGCTTGAAGACAAGACTGCTAGTTTTGCGAAGTTCACGGATCGTCGGCGTTGTGGTTGGTTATAGTGATTATATTCGTAAGAGTATAAGCACGCCAAACCAGTACCAAACTGTATGGACACAAGTACTCAAAAGATATGTATGTCTTGATGGTGAATGTGGTTTGACCGTCAAAATGCCGAACTCTAAAACTTACTTGTGAATACCCAATCATAAAACAACTCGGTGTACAATGTGCTGAGCCCAATAATTTGTAACACCTCACTTCGCCAAGAAGGCTAATGAGATGACATCCGCCAATAAGGATTCGAAAATCCTTCTCGACCGAGACTTGGATAGGTAATCAGTCGGTCTCGACACAGTGCTGTCTATCCAAACTGAAGATGTTCACCGGTTGCCTTCATAGTGCTGTTTATCCAAACTGAAGATGTGTTGGCAAAAAAGGAAAACAAAAATCTCAAGGTTGTTGAGAGGTTTCGCGTAAAGCGAGGGTTTGCGCAGGGGCAGTTTGTGTGTTGAATTGGAAATGGCTAGAATGATGCACCCCTATCTTATTTATAGCAGCCAACCTCGTCATGGCCGAACTAGAACTATACTTGGGTTAGGATTCCTCATCCTAATCTAAACAGATCTCGCCCAATCGTTCCTCCATTAGGACTTTGAACCAACCTCTTTATCCGGTCACATTCACTTCTCAAACCTCAGCATCCTCATTCCTTTGAGACTCCTTATACTACTAGGATTCAACTCATTCGCTCCTACCCAGATTAATCCTTCTTGTAATAGGACTCGGCCGACCTGACTGGGTGGTTTATGACCACTGGACTGCCCATAGTATTTTTGGAAGAGCTTTAGACCGAACATAAACCTAACCTCGGCCTAATAATATTATTTTGGGCCCAAACAACTGTTTATATTTAATTTTAAATACAAAAATTACAATGATTTCTGACCACACGATGTATGATGAATGGATGTGATTTGAAGATCCCCGGGATCCTCACAAAGAGGATCCGGCGAGGATCCTTTCGTGACAGGGAGAACTGGTTGCTTTCAATTAATGCTTGTTTTTTGGTGTTGTTGCACGGTTAGATGCTGACATGTGTGTACGTACGTTTGTGAAGCATTATTTGATCATCTCACAACTATTCACAAGTCACGGATGACAGTTGACTAAGAGTGTAACGCTGTTTTGGTGAGAGAGAGAGAGAGAATAATAAGATCATCTCCAACCGATTTGATCAGAAGGTTAAAAATAATCTGAAATGACACGAAAATCATCTTCAACCAAGAACTAAGTTAAAATGCTCGTAGGCCCCACCGGGCTAAAAAAAAAAAAAAGAATCAGGCCGACTGGCTGGCCCAAAGGGCCAGCCAGCTAGCGCTGGGCCATACGTAGAATGGCTTGTAAGCGGAAGGCGAGGGCTGGAACCTCTTCAGGTTCTCCCCTGGAATCGAGGAAGCTGAGGCAAACCGAGGGTTTTGGAAAAACCCCAAAACGTAATCCTCCCCATCTCTTCAGGTGATTCCCTCTCTCTCTCTGCTCTTCTCTCTCCCCTTTATTTACGCTTTAATCTGGCTGTCATTTCCAGATTTTTTTTCTTATTTTTTGTAATTTAATTGTTGGAATTTAGGCATAATTAAGTGCATGGCAGCTGTAAGTTGTTGAGTTGTGTAAAATCCGTGTTTTGTTGATATAGATGTCTTCTCATGTGGGTTATTCTTGGATTTTGTTTCTGTCACTGTATGCTGATTTTTCCTCTTCAAAATGCGACCCTTTTGTACACATATATACAGATACACACAACAGAGTCCTAGTGTACGTTTTTCACACTCGATTTCTTCACTCGCAGCGGCCGGTTGATCGAAGATAAGATCTGTTCCCCATTTTACCTCTGCTGGCTGTCTATTTTCGAACCCCAGAAAGATAATTCAGTAACCCTTGAAATTTGGAAAGAGGAACTTACACTTGTATTGAAATTTCTTTATGATCTTGTTTTGAATACCGCTATTTTGATACCATTTTCAAATTGCAAAGAAATTATGATCCCCAGAAGTGTTGGGTCAGCTTTTGGTGTCAATGTGCTGGGTTTTTGTTCATGTACAAAAGAAATTTCACCATCTATTTTTCACTTTTTCTCCCTGTAAGCTGTATTGAATACGATAAAGGTGGTATAAATTTTTACATATTTTTTTCCTTTTTTCTCATGACTTAGTTAAGCTTCCATTCTTGACTAATAATAAATTACGATTCCCATATTAATTTAATTAAAATAATAAATTATGTTTGTTCTTATTGCCTTCCGACTTTTTCGGTTGAAGATAATTTTTTGTTACAGGATTATGTTTGACCTATGACTCTCTGACCTCTCGCTTTGAGATGATAAGAAATATGACATGATACTATTCATTAAAATATTAATTTTTTGGAGACCTATAAAGGGCTCTCTAACCTTCCTTGGTTGGAGATGGTCTAAGCATGGATGGATCGGATCTTGTTGGGTTTGGTCAGCTGGAACCATTGAACGGTGGGATTTTGAGATTGAGAGTTAACGATGTTTTTTCGGTGCGCCACTGTATTCATACCAAAGTTTTGGAGGCCGTCAGATTTCATCCTGCGGCTAAGATTGAATACCTGGTGACCTCCTATAAACTATTATATGTCGAAAATAGTGGAAGTCGCAAAGTTTAGTAGACGGGGAACAAAAGCAAACTGGACGGCTTGTCGGAAATACGAAATGCCCGGATCGTTGGTATCCGTCGGCTTCTTGAGCTTGTCGTTGAAAGCCTCCATCGTTACAGTCAGGGGCGGATGGAAATAAGGATTAAGGTGGTTTCAGGATCATTCGAATTTGAAAAATATATACGTGAAGGTCTTTCCCGTAATCTTTAGATGTTTGGTACGAGTTTCTTTTGTGCTTACTAAATATTTGATATAAAGCATGCTAGGCATATTTGACATGTTGCATCGGCAACACTCGACAAATTCTCTTTATATCGTTAATCAGATTGCTTCAAAATATGCCAGTATCTGTTAATGTATGGACAACAAGCCGACCAAGTAAATAAACTGATTTTTTTGCATGCTTCACTCTTTGTTCCTGTCTTAAAAACTTGTATTTAATATTGGGACCCCCAAGGTTCAAACATGCATGGATCCACCATGGTTATAGCGTTCTTCGTTGATGATTGGTTCGATTTAAATTACAAAATCTCTACCTATCTTGTTTTTGGAATGAGTTATATTCGTTTTTGCAAATTATCGTTTGACAAAAGTGTAAAAGTAGATCATTAAAAATATAATTTACAGTATACGTAAGAGTAAAATGCAAGGGTTGGTTACATGGTGGGTAAGTGTGTTTTTCTTTCTAATATTTGATTCTTAAAAAGTTTTAGTAGTATTCATTTTCACTTATAAGTGAGATGTCTTAAATTAAATATCGTAAATGACAAGTTCGAATCAATTTAAAAATATAATATTGTGTAAAAACAATTATATATATTTAACTCTTGAAGTGCATTTCTCTAACATTATGTGTTCTTAGGATGACTTTATTCCTACATGCACGACCAAATACTTGAAACTAGAGCATGTAGGTCGGCATTTTAAAGTTGTAAAACAAGCACATTTTTCAAAATTACTTCAGAAACTCTTATCATCGGACTCCATTTATTACTGCTAAATTTGAAAAAAAGTGCTAGCTTTGCAATTTGATCGTGAAATGTGCATATAAACTAGTGTTACACTAAGGAACTTAGGATATACATTCACAACAAAACCCTAGGTGTGACGGACGAAGGCAACAAAGTCAAGAAAATGAAAGTCTTCTTGAAAGAGGAAAATTTTTATGTATACCAAAACACAATCTGATACGTCATGTATTATATTTTAAGACAACAATACATCTACTTATATTATGACATATGGTGTACCACATTTTGTTTCGGATATACAGAAAAGTTCCCGGAAAGAGGGAATTACATCACATTAGGCCGTGATAGTCAAATGGTCATGGAGGACGTCGCCTTTTGGACCTTCATTTGTACCTAGTACGTCTATTCGACCATCTCAAATCTATCCATCCTCCAAAGTCCTTTACGCTTCACAAACACGATCTCCTCACCTTCTGCTGCAGCTGCTGAGTCCATCAGTTACCTGCATATACTGTTAATGTGGGCTCCAGCATACCAAATCACATGCAAGAGTGGGCTCCAACGTAGGCGGATCTTGAAGCCGTGATGGGTACGTCAATCTTCCACAGTAGTCCGGATGTATTATTTCTGGCCGTGGGCCATAACATGCGGCTGTGGATTACAGTGTGGAGGAGGAGGAGGAGGAGGCGGGACCATTGCCGTGTAGTAACCCTCTCACAGGCGAGGCGACGTTCCTCCTTAAGTCATTGCAACACGACTTTTACTTTGTCTCAACAGAAACCTTGTCCTACTACTCCTATACTCAGCCATTTCAATTAACAAATTTATGCCAGAAAAATTCAAGAGTTCAACATAATTCTGAAAGCAGATGGACAAAATTGTGTTAACATCCCCACGCGAGTGATATAGGGGCTCATTCCGTAAGATATAGACTGTTCGAATCGTTAAAATACATTACCAAATAAATCCTACAAAACAGGTGTAAACAACATGTATTCCTGAATTCTAACCCTATATATATAGCTATACGCTTAATGTTTGCATTTTCAAAAGAGAGACTTTCGTGGTGTCCCCATTTCATAACATTCCTCATTTCCATAATTTCTACAAGTCTCGATCCATATCTCATTGTGTGAAACAAACTACATGATCCAATGTGATGGCACCTAATTCAATACCCTAGGTTATACATGTATAAGTCAATCCTAAATTCCTAATATTAATTCCCAAACTCATGAAAATGTTTGGGTTAGCTGGCTTTTTCTAATCATGGAAACATGTATGTGTTTTTAGATATACGCAACTTTTCTTGGCTGCTCATTTGCCCTAATTGGAGTCCGCAGGCCAACTCACTTTCATGATATCGATTGCCTATTTATACAGATATGCACTCCATCTCCATCATTGGCGCCGCATCAGATGGGGCTGGCTGCATGCTGCTAATATTCAATCAATCATATTTGTTCACTTCGTCGATAATGTTCTGAGTTCAAATCTCATGTACGACATTTGTTGGAAAATGATTGATGAATACAATCACTATGTAGACATAATAACATGTATTAGAGCAAAGTAAGTTTGGATCATATGTTTATATTCAAAACTACGTCGTTTCAACTGTATATTTTAGTTTTATTCCATAAATTTCAAATTTTAGGCCTTAAACTATAACATTGATATACTTCCTAGAAAGTGTAAAAGTTACTGAGAGTAATGTGAGGATTTATGACCTCTTCATTCATCATTGTTTAAAATTAAACCCTAAACCCAAAATTCCTGATACGATTAGTTACAAACGCTTTTTGACAAGATTCACGGCACTGGTTCTCGTGTGAACCAAAAACCTATTAGCGCTTTTTTTTCTCTGCTAAACTGTAACCGAACAAATGTTTATATTGTCAAACTTTTGACTGCATAAAATCATGATTTATATTATGTTTTCAGGCCATGTATATAGTCAATATGTGTTGAATTTGCATTTAAACATTGAATGCAGTGTTGGGTACATGGATAATAATACAAGGAAACCTTTTTTTTTTCTTTGGTCCTCTTAAGCTTTGAATGAGAACGTGAGAGGTGGGTGTGGGAGACATGAACATGATGAGAGCTTAGAGGATGTAGATTTGCAATTTAAGCACACAGAAGTTTGGTGCATTTAAATTAGTAGGACCAATGCCAGGAGAGCAAGGCCCTCGAGTTTTTGTTGGAAATAAATAAATAAATGCCACTTAGTACTACAAAATAGGCATATTCTTTTTTACTTGTAAGTGAGAGGGATGTTCGGTTCTAACCAAATGCGAATTTGAACAACATTATTACTAGTCAATTGTGAGACTTAGCCACTCCCTCGCCCCTTAGTATAGAAAATATTGATCGTTCAAAAAAAAAAAAATATATATATATATATATAAATATAAGAAAAATCCCCTTTTTTTTCTTATAATATATTTATGCCAATTGTGCATGCGATCCAATTGTAGATTGCAGCAGACATTAATTTAGTGAGTAGGAGTGGGAGGAATATATTTTCAAGGTTTGAAGCTCTCCTCCAAATTCCATTAATCACATTATCAATATGAAACTTTATAGATTGAATTAAATTGCTTGGAAACAAAAGGAGCTCAAAGGTGACGTTTTCATGCTACTTTCGAGTTTATGTGCCAAAAATTTGATTTAATTTCTGAATATACACAGAAACTTTGTGCAAAAGGACTTCTTATGTTGACTTGCATTTAGAGCTCGAATTGCACACTCACGTGAGTTAACGTATCAACAAGTGCTGGTGAATTTTTCTGTTTGACAATTTCATCATCACATGATAATAATTTCACACTTATACTGTAACATGTATACCAATTTTTTAGTCGTACACTTTGAGTCCATAAGAAAAAAATCATGTATACTATTAATATGATAGTATCTTAGTATATAAATTAGTAATACCAGTAAGTAGCACACCCAAAAATTTCGTTGCAAACATTGTTTATAGTGTAATTTCAAATTACTTGTTGCTATGTCGGAATGCGTTGTTGAATATTGTGTTAATACGAATTATGAAATTCTATGACATGATATGTCAATCACCCATATTTTGGGAAGAAATGCAATGCAATCTTCCTCTTGGGACTTGGCACATGATGTACCAATGGACTCTGTTCTTTCCGATGGCCCAAGAGTATGCCGACCCATTTTTCTTGTGCCCATTAGCTAGGTAGAACCCAAAAGTGCAACAGCACCTAAAAGAAGGCCGTAGCGGCAAAAATGTAGAGCCCAATGGTGCATGGCTGGACTGGACATAGCACATAGGGCCGTTTGGTGCGGGATTGAACTTTTTTATTTTTAGAGGATTATCGTGGAATTAATATGACGGAATTTATTCCCATCCTTTTGAGGGGATTAGAATGAATTAGAAACATGTTTGCTTATAAGGAATGAACTTGCAAATAATGTGTATCATTTCCATTTTTTATATTACAATATGTTTACACTAAGGGGTAAAGAATAAATTCACGAGATTCATACCTAAGATGTCTTACTTACAAGTGAAGATGACTATTGTGGATGCAAATTTCCTCCTTCTTCTTCTTGGATGAAAATGCACCTGCAAAACAATTAACACCTAAGATCAAGGCCAAAGTTAGAATTTGAGAGAGAAAGTGTTTAGAGAATTTTAGGAGAAGAATGAACTTAGGTTTTTTGAGAAATGAGGGGCTATATATAGGGGTGTGGCCGGCCCTATTTGGGGAAATAGGGACCGGCCATTTATGGTGGTAATTTGGCTCTAATTGCAAGATATTATGCTACATAATATCTTGCAATCAATTAGGTAATTAGTCAATTAATTTTGGCAATTAAATAGGGACCGGCCACTTATGGTCGTAATTTGGATATAATTTGTCTATACATTCTTGTATATACAAACAATCAATTAATGTTACTACTACGATTTGATGGAATTCCTCTTCATTTGTAAGTAAGATATCTTAGATTCGAATCTCGTAGATGGTGAATTTGATACCAAATTAAGTTGCCCATAATGTGGCTTAGTAGAACTCTCCCTTTCTCTTAGTGTAAAATATATTTTTGCACTAAAAAAAAAAACCAATTAATGAAGAAAAATATATGCATATGAGTATCTCATACTTGAAAAGTCAAGGTATGAGATTACCATAGGTTTTATTTTTTATTTTTTTAATCTCATACTCAATTCTTTCATATTCTCATTCTTTAACATTATAAGTAAAAATGCCCTAGTTTTCTCAATAAAAAATTTACCATTTTTCGTTCATCTTCTATCTTTAAGTTGGACACAATTTTCTCATTTCTTCCCCTAATGCTCTAACATATTTATAATATAGTGAACTATTCAATCTTAAAAACCAAATCAGGTCATAGTTTAAGAAAAAGACATCATATTCCCCATCATGGTTGGAGATAGTTGGACAAATTTTATTAAATTCGAAAACCAGAGTGTCAATGGTGAGTTAGAAATACTTCAACTACAAGTTGAATTTAAGTTGAGAAGTTAGCAATCATATCACATTCGGTTGAAGATTGTGGGTTGTCTCACCTAAGTTCACACAAGATTTTCATATCATAATTTGCCTTTATAACTCAAACTTGTAACATCTAGTATATTAATCTGGATAATCAACAAAAATTATGTTCAATAAAACTTATTGCGATTAAAAATATGCAGTTAGTACACCCACTTAGAAACTTGTGATATCCAAGGGGTTAGGTTGGTTGGCAAGTGGCAACTTGGAAATGTTGTAACGGCGCTAATGAAGTTTGGTTGGTAGAATGACCATAGAAATTATGAGTAAATTGTAGTTATGGTGCCTTAACTTTAACTCAATTGGAGTAATGGTCCCTTAACTATAAATCTATTACCATTGGTCCCTCAACTCATCCAAACGTCCAGTTATGGTTTTTCTACTAAAAATCCATTACCATTGGTCTCTCAACTTTAATTCAACTGGAGAAATGGTCCCTTAACTTTAACCTAATTGTAGCAATGGTCCTTCTAACATAACTCGTTTTGACAAATTTTTTGACATAGTTGACGAAAAGGACCATAATTACACATTTTGAAGAGTTGAGAAACCCTAATTATATAAATGGTTATTCCAACATAACTTATTTTGACAAAATTTTGACGAAATTGATGAAAATGACTATAGCTACACATTTTGAAAAGTTGAGGGACCAATGGTAATGGATTTTTAGTTGAGGGACCATTGCTCCAATTTGATTAAAGTTGAGGGACCATTGCTACAATTTACTCTAGAAATTATAGACTCATACATTTCTTAACAATTGTTCAGTTCTTTTCACTGTTGCACGAGTTAAATAGGCGGTTATTAAGGAGACAGATTGTCTGCCCTCCTATTTGGATGCTCTTCCCATTCCCTTCTATTTTATGCATTCACAGTTAAGTCACGTCAACATTTTATATTGATTTTTTATTGAGATAATAAGATAAAAAGTAATATAAATATAAAATATTGACGCGACTTAACCATAACCGTATAAATAAAAAAGGATGAGAAGGACATCCAAACAGAAAGCCAGACAATCTGTCTCCGGTTATTTAATCCTTAAAGCTAGCACACTGTGTGCTTTTTTTTTTTATCACTGTTGCGCGAGTTACGCGGTTAACACGTGAACTTTTCTAAATTTACTGAACTGCTCATTCAATTATTACACCAACAACGCCCTTCCCTTCGAATGACCCTCCATCATTGCCTAAACACCTCATTACCTCTCACAAATTGGTTTACAACTAAAATTAACTATTTTAAATTTTATTTTTTTTTTGCAATGCTCTTTTTTACTCAATATTTTTTAGGCAATGCCCTCCATTTTCCAATTTCTTTTTTCTTAAAAAATAATAATATTTTAAAAAAACAATTTCGCATTTAAAAGGAAAATAGACCGATTCCTACGGTTAACGTGGCCAGCACAATTAATTAAGTAACCGTCCAATGACCAGTCAAAAAGGCACCTCAACGCGAATATTCCGTCACGGGCATTTCCGTAAATTTAATATGTCCTCTTCATCCGGAAAATCCGCAAACACGCGCCGTTTGATCCCCCATCAACGGCCGGAATTTAACCTTTGACCGAGGTACGATAAAGAAATGGTGCAAGGCTGGAACGAATGATTTTCTTCGGTCCAAGTTTGACCGCGGAATCAAAATTCCCAAAAAAAAAAACAGCTAACAGACGGAGAGATAAATTCTAGAGAGAGAAGACTACAAAAGCAATTCTAGAGAGAGAAAACCTGAAAATTTTTAAAGAGAGAGAGGGGGGGAAGAAAGGGAGCTTGTGGTTTTTTTCTTCCTTCCTTTCTTTTCGTGTGATTCTTCTCTTTGGGGGATTTGCAGGGTTTGATTTGAATCAGGGGAGGGGAGAGAGAGAGAGAGAGAGAGAGAGACAGAGAGACAGAGAGAGGAGAGGAGAGAGAAAGCTTGGCATTTCTCTCTCTTCTTTGACTTTTGTTCATTGGGAGGACATTCGAATTAGGGTTTTGGGTTGTTGAATCAGAGCAAGGAACGAAGATGAATATGATGCGCCGGCTCAAGAGCATTGCTTCGGGTCGGACCTCTGTTTCGTCGGACCCTGTAAGTTTTTGTTTCTTGTTTGTTTGTGTGTGTGTGTGTGTATTATTTTCATGTTTTGGTTTGGAGGATTTGAGCTTGTTTTGGTAAGCTCGGAAAGGGAGGAAAATAAGGCAAAAATGTTGAATGTTTTGGTTTAGGGCGCTTTGGTTATGTGCAAACACATGGTGGAGGATTTGTATGTAATTATTGACAACATCTACATATGTGTATTGTGGGGATTTGAAGGATCATTTGGTTTCCGTTGATTAGCGTTTGTATTTTGTATAAACTCTTTGGCCGCAGGGGCGTATGGATTTGCATTCTTGTGCATATATTTGATCAAAGTTGAAGGGAGATTTTGATTGTTGTTTTGTTACTTGCATATGGCTAAGGTGTTTAATGTTGGTTACTAGTTTTGATTGTCCTAGCATTTTTATCATGCATTGTGAGTGTAATTATCTGTGAGCGTCGGATTTTGTTTGTGTTACCACGGATACTAGTGTTTTAAAACAGCATCCTTGTTCGGATTGGTGACGGAACAAATGACTACTTTTGGTTTTTCTACGAGGCATCACACGTAATGCCCACTTTGTGTATATGTATACAAAGTTGGAGGAAAATGCTTTTCTACGTCATGAATGCCGTGGCTGTTTGGGTTTGCACATCAATGAGTCAGAATGTTATTGTAGACAAGTATATTGGATTTCTTCTTATTTCCGGGGCAATGTTCAACTGAAGCATACCGCTAACCTTGAGGAATGTGTTTCAATTTGAGTTTTGGGATGGTTTTGCATGGCTTTTAATGCGCCCAGTTAGCGATCAGTTTTTTTTTTCCAAACCTTTTCCTGGAATATGAATCTTCCGTGTTTATGTTAATGTTTGCATCTTACTACTTTCCTAATTTTCTTGTTATGAAAGGATCACGTAATGATCCATGCAGTTAGGCTAATAGGTAGACACACAACGGAGGCTGTGTGGTTTTTTTCTCTTTTCCACTATTTAGGGAATTGATTCTAATATAGCAAAGTTTAAACTTTTTTTTTTCTAGGGAATTGATTCTAATCTAGCAAAGCTTAATTTGTTTTAGGGAATTGATTCTGCCACAAAGAGAGCAAAGATGGATCAAGACAACGAGAAGAAGGCTAATAAACAGCCAAATACTGTTGAAAGAAGTGCCACTGGTCTAGAGCAGCATATGACTTCAACATCAGTGGAAACTGCTGCAAGCACATCCAGTGTGTCGTCAGTAGCTAAGACCGAGACCAAAGAAGTTAAATCTAGTTACGATCAGCTTCCCAAAGAAATGCATGAAATGAAAATTAGAGATGAGAAGGCCAACCACCATGATGACAAGGTATTTTTTTTGTTGACGTTGATTTTGTTTCTGTGAGATTTTCTTCCTCCATATGTGGCTTTATAAAAAAGGCATGTTTTAAACAAGCGAATTTTAGTTACGGAATAAATGGTGTAAATTTGCCCTGTGCAGGATATGGAAGAAACCATTATAAATGGTAATGGAACAGAAACAGGTCATATAATTGCAACGACAGTAGGTGGTCAAAATGGGCAACCTAAACAGGTGTGCTTAGTAATTCTGCATTTTTTATGTTGTCTCCTAGGAAGCCCTCATGATTGTTCTTTTTTTGAATTTCTCTCTGCATGACCTCGTTTTCTGCGGGTTTTACTAATTTTTCATTTTCGGTTACAGACTATCTCTTACATGGCGGAGCGTGTAGTTGGTACTGGTTCATTTGGAGTTGTCTTTCAGGTAGTTGGAGTTATTTGCATTTGTTCATTATTTTGGTCTCTTTGGTTCCTGTTCCACTGATACAGATTTCAGGGTCATTTTGTTACCTTGCTTACGATATTTATTCTGCAGGCTAAGTGTCTGGAATCGAGTGAAGCAGTTGCGATAAAAAAGGTGTTGCAGGATAAAAGATATAAAAACAGAGAACTTCAAATTATGCGCTTACTTGACCATCCTAACGTTGTTCAATTGAAGCACTGTTTCTTTTCAACTACCGACAAAGACGAGCTGTACCTTAATCTTGTCCTCGAGTATATATCTGAAACAGTTTACCGGGTTTCAAAGCACTATATCAGGATGAACCAACATATTCCCATTATTTATGTGCAATTATATACGTACCAGGTAATTTTGGAATCCGTCTATTTTTTCTTCCATGTTGTCAGGTTGTTCTGATTCCTTTTATGGCTAAAAAGTTGAATTGTTTTCTATTTTGTAGATTTGTCGCGCATTAAATTACTTGCACCATGTTATTGGTGTGTGTCATCGTGACATTAAGCCACAAAATTTGCTGGTAAGGTTTTCTTACAATTTATATCAATTTGATTTGTGTTGATCATGTACGAACAAGAGTTAAATTTCTCATAGTAGTCCGACTTTAATTGATCTGAGATTGTATCTTCAGTCATCGTACTGACGCTGAGGTTCTGATGCATATGCAGGTCAATCCACACACGCATCAGCTGAAGATATGTGATTTTGGGAGTGCAAAGATGTTGGTATGTTTTGTATTCTGTGAATCTGGAGGTGCTTTGATGATATTTGGAATTGATGGTCTTGGAACTAATGAATTCTTTTATTTCTCATCTTTAGGTGCCAGGTGAAGCCAACATATCATATATTTGCTCACGATATTATAGGGCTCCAGAACTTATATTTGGGGCTACAGAATATACCACTGCAATTGATATGTGGTCTGTTGGTTGTGTATTTGCTGAGCTTCTTCTTGGACAGGTACGTGTATAGCGTGTCATATTCTTATTTAACTTGTATGAGTTTGGGTTTGTTTTATTCTCATGGCTATTTCTGATATCTTTGCAGCCACTGTTTCCTGGGGAGAGTGGTGTTGATCAGCTGGTGGAGATTATAAAGGTAGGTTTGATGTAAACCATTTGTTTCTTGTCATGGTGATATTTGTGCTATTTTGTTTTCTCATCTTTCTTTTGGGTATTATTCTAGATTCTAGGGACACCAACCAGAGAAGAAATAAAGTGCATGAATCCCAATTACACCGAATTCAAGTTTCCTCAGATCAAAGCTCACCCATGGCACAAGGTCCGTTCAATTTTTTAATTCAGTATTTATGGTCAATTGGATATATTTGTGCTGGTCGAAATCTTAATTGTGTTTGTAATCTTTAGATATTTCACAAGCGAATGCCCCCAGAAGCAGTGGATCTTGTGTCAAGACTGCTCCAGTACTCACCAAATCTACGTTGCACTGCTGTAAGAAAATGAACTTGCTTTCAATAAGTTTCGATTAACATATGTGATTTATACAAGTCTTAATACTAAATTGTTTCCTTGTTTTTAGTTGGAGGCATGTGCTCACCCCTTCTTTGATGATTTGAGAGACCCAAATGTAAGCTTGCCTAATGGACGAGCATTGCCTCTTCTGTTCAATTTCACAGCTCAAGGTAAGATATTTCGCCATTCTATGGCCTGGTTTTAGCTGTTGTCACCTCTAGTCTTTATCTTGATGTCGATCTCCTTGCAGAATTGGCTGGAGCACCCACTGAACTCCGACATCGTCTAATCCCGGAGCATGCTAGGAATTGATTTACGAACCTGAGGGGGTCACATAAGTTAACGAGGTATATGCAGTTTTGATTGCTTGGATGCTCAGATGAGCCATGCTGCCTTGAACCCCAAGGGTCTGCTGTCTCTCGATCCTTTCAGTTCAGTCATGGAAGAAGTAGGCACTGGAGACTGTTTGTTCGAATGGATTTTGCGGGTGGAATTTTCAGGTGGATGGGAGCGGTGACTGCTTCGGCTTATTAGAGATTCCAAGACCAAATTTTTACAATGTATGTTGTACGCGTTGGCTGTGAAAGATGAGCTCATACATATAATGTTAAATCATGTTGTGACATGTAGTGTTTTGTGAGTAATGTGGAGACTGACTAAATTGGGATCATTTAGATAAAATTAGATTCTCATTGTATACCGTTCCCCTATTGCACAGAAATTCAAAAATTCGACTTCATTTTCCGGTTTGCCTTTTCTTCTATTGCTTTTCTTGCAGCGGCACTTCTACGGGTGGAAAAGTTTATATTACCGTTTAAGTCGGTGTTCACTTGACTGTTATAGGATTGAGGGCGTCGATGGCCGCCCTCAACCTCTGAAGTGTTGCAAGTGGACGGGTCACGGTCCTTAGGAAGAGGAAGAGCACCGCGAACGAGCCATTTGGTGTTAACAGATAAACCTTATACCAGTAGTCATCACAAGTGCAGTTCCCTTGTTTGAAACGATGAAATCAATTTGAATCTCTTAATATAATATGCCGAAGAAAGAGCTTCGATATAAATTTCATCTAAACAATTCGGATTGGTGCCCCTGTTGGTGTGGTTAGAACTTAGAAGCCCAAAAGCAACAGCCAACTTCTCAGCGTGATATGCTAGGCCAAGCTTCTTTGCAAAATTCATATCCGGCTGCATCCAGGCAATCTTCAGATTCTTGCAGCATCTTCCCATCCAGCAGCTGCAGAACACATGTCAGATAACTGAACATAAGGCACATCATTTAGAGGCGCCAATTTGAATAGGTTCGTTGCAGCCCGCTCTCCCAGTTCTATGTTCCCATGTGCACGACATGCAGTAAGTAGTGCCTTCCATACATTTCCATCTGGTTCCACAACCATTTCATTAACTAATACATCTGCCTCATTAAGCTCCCACGAGCGCTCCAAGAGGTCAATCATACATGCATAGTGCTCAGGACCTGGTTGTATTCCATAAACCCTACTCATTGATGACGACCAGCATGGCTCCAAGCAAATCATTTGAATTTGATCATAAAACTTTAGGGACTCCTTTCCTCTACCATTCTGGACATAACCAAGTAATCACATCTTGAACTTTCATAGAGTCGAAAACTCTATTTGCTTCTTCTATGCACCCGCTCTTTGCATGCATCGCTACAAAGGAATTATCTACTCATACGGATGCTTGAAGACAAGACTTACTAAAGTTTGCATGAATTTGTTGGCCAAATTCCAAAACTGTCACAGGCACTCAAAACACTGGCCATGACAAATTGATCGGGATAGGTCCCTCCAGTTCTCATCTCACAGAACAGTCTAAGTGCCTTTTCATGAGAGCCATTATGTCATAGCCTGTGACCAGGGAGGTCCATGAGATAACATCCTTGTCTGAAATATGCGTAAACACCCTCAAGCGCTGCATCTATGTTCCCTTGTTAGAATTTTAGATTGTAAGGAAGAAGTATGGTGCAAGAATTGAACAAAAAACCGAAAGAATTCAAAGGAATTTCAGTCTGCAAAACATAGCAGCAGCACTGAGCATTTCATTCATACATTCATCATAAAAAAAACATACATTCGTATCTGCACGAATTGCAGATAGTACATGTCCTTGAATTCACAGCTGAATTTGTAAATCTCAGCCTTTCACTTGTTCTAATCCTAGCCTTGCATCTGTTCTAAGTGACTAGGACTTCACCTACTACCCTTACATAAAAAACTAGCCGTTATACTTCAAATGGAAACTAGCCGTTGGAACCAATAGCAACACTTGGACTTCTTGGTTCTGCTATCGAACCCTCAAGGCTGCAAAAACAGCTTACATTTCAACGCCCATGCTTAGCATACATATATCAACAAAAGCATTTCCCACGAGTTAATAAAACCTCAAACCGGCCTTGACTATCGGACAATGAGTAGGCATTGCATTTTTCATGTCCTTCAAAGCGGCAAAGGAGTTTAGAACAGATAGGTACGTAAAGTGATCAATCTTCATTTCTTTTGCGAACCCTGCCTTAGACACCCCACAATCATGGAGTTCCAAGAAACGACATCGTCAGCCTCCATGCTTCTTAATGCCTTCTTAGCACCACTACGATCTCCACATTTGACATACATGTCAACCAAGGAGCTTTGGACAGACACATTAGCCCCGAAATCACTCTGAACATTGTATCTGTGCCCCTGAGCCCCGAAACTATGCGCTAAGACTAACGCAGAAGCTGTCAATACACTAGGGAACGTAAACTGATTGGATTTCAACTCCTTTTGTTCGCATGTCTCAAAAACATTTCCTCGATTAAAAGCCATCACCATTTTGAGAGTACCCAGTAAGCATGACAGTCCGCAAAACGTGGTTTTTCCTATCCGGCAGAGTCTCGGAGAGATACTGATCAGCTTTCGAAATGCGCTTGCACTTTGTATACATGCATGTTCACCAAACCCGTGACAACGAAAACATTAACGTCAAATTGGACCTTTGTCATATAACCATGAACAAGTTTACCTGTTTGGAGCAAACCTAATGCTGAACACAACCTCAAGAGTCTAAACTGTATGAAACACAGCACAATTAGTATATCCAATGCGCCTACGTTCACGGGAAAATTTTCGGGGCTTCGGCCTTATGCCAGGTGGTGCTCCCACCAATGGGAATTTGACACGGAAAGCTTTTAAGAATTTATTTAATTAGAAGAAAGAAAAGAATATCTAATTGAGTATCCGAAAAACTTCTCTTACGCTCACGTTCACTTTGTATACTAAACTTTCAAAAGAACAAAAAAAGTTCTACATTTGTTTAAAAAGAGAATACAAGGTTTCGGTTGTTTCTTCTTGTCTACAAAACAACTTGATAATTCTTTTGTGAAAGAGAGTGGTGTTCTTAGAATGTCATCCTACAACAGCTTTATAAAAACATGTTTTGTCTTTATGCTCATGCTAAGAAGGTAAAATTTGTAAACTAAATGATGTGTTATTCATAGGAATGAAAACATTTAAGTACTAAACCAATCATCAACTTCCATATCCTTTAATTTTTAAAATGTTATTTACAAATTTAATCTCCCTAACATTACCCTTTTATTCGAATACTTTGTTATATTTCTTAACTCACGTAATAAGAAAGAGATTTCCACTTGCGCTCATTTCTCGTTATGCATACTCATTTTCCTTTTCACCTTTGGACTGAATATATCCCTTAAGAAGCGATCTTCATTTATTAAAAGAAATGGAGACGAGTTATGGAGCCCACTCACCATTCTTCTTCAACGATCTGAACTGATCATTTAATTTTAAAAATATTAGTAAAACGGGAAATGATTAAGAAATCTAATTGTGGTGATCGAAATTAATGAATGTAGTGTTCTAAAAAAAATATCGAAATTTCACGATGAAAATTGTATGAGTGAATGATTTGGATTAAATGAGTTTTTTTGGAAGAATGATCTTTGAAAAGACTTACAACTTAGATAGTTCAGGGTATTGTAAAAGAACATGAATTGTGCCCTAAACCCTTTAAAGAAAATGAGGATCCCTCCTTAAAGGATAAAATTAAAGATCAACGTTTGAAAAGAATAAAAATGTGTATGATAATAATAATTTAGGGAGTTTTAATGAAAAATTCACTGTACTGTTCACTTTAACGAAAAACCATATTTTAATACTAAAAAGTCAATCATGGTACTATTCACTTTACCCTTTATTTTATCATTAGCATTAAAACTCAAAATTTTCAAACCCTTTTTCATTAGTTTTCCTAATAATTTATCATCCTATCCATTTCAATATTCTTATTTTGGAAAACAGATTGTTATTAATTAAAATGAATTAATGTACTTAAACAGTTTGGTTCAACTTTTGATTCCATGTTTAAGGGTGAGAAGGATGCTGATATTATGATTGATAGCATGGTATTGGATATACGACAGCTAGCTATGCAAATGGAATCCATTGAGTTCTCATCTGTGCCTCGGTGATGCCTCATTCGATGGCTTCGTTTGTGAATAGAAAAGGGGACAACCATAGATAGAGCTTGATTTTTCTTTAATTTCTATAACATTTCTATTCGATTTTAATTTTAATAGAATTTTATCGTTTGAAAAAACAAAAGAAAAAAACTTAAGCATGTATATACCAAAATGTACATAAATATATTAAGTGAATTAATACACTTAAATGAATAACACATATTAACCAAATACATTATAAAAAAATAGTCTACCGAAATGTTCTATGAAAAAAATGTACCAAGATGAATCGAATGAAAATTATGATTTAAAGCATTACCATGAGTGAACACATGGGTATTGTGACAACCCGTTCCAAATTTTACGTTTTTATTTTATTTTAAAAGCGTGAATTTTCAAAATTGCCCTAGAGGTAAGGACTTTGACTTCCATTGACCATCAACTCGAGAGATGTGGGACTTATTCTTTTAGCATATCCTCGTAGTACTTATTGGTATGAACGTATAGGCGAAAGCCATTTGCGAGTCCGGATTATAACGGTATAGTTACGGACGTTCGAAATTGGTTATTCAAGGTTTAGTGTTTATTTAAATTAAATCCCCACCTTGTGGGGAAAAGCCCAATCAGAAAAAATAAAATAAAATAAATAAATAAATAAATAAATAAATAAAAAGGAAAAAGGAAGTGGGTTCTCGTCCACCCGCACCCACCGTGGGTTCCCATTTTCCAAGGCCGATTCCGGCCAACTCCGGTGGAGTTTTTTGATGCCACCACCACCATCTTGAAGCTCTCATTCCCCTCTACAAAACTCACCTCACCCAAGAAACACCTTGATTAACCATGGGATGTGGAGGTTTGAGGCCACGAAAGTTGACGAAAATCAATGGTGCTCCGGCCACCCTTCTCAGTTTTCCGGCAAATCGGCAAAGCAATGGCTGATGCCACCATTTGGGCTTTGTAGCCCATCATCCCAGGAGCAAAACCCAACCAACCTTGACCCCGTTGGACCACCGTAGACGACGAATCGACGTCAGGAAGTTTTAGGCACCCGCCGGCTTCGTGGGAAAAATTGACCATCTTCCGTCCACTTTTGGACTTCGTGGCAGGTATGAAAGTTGCTCCACTCACTGAGATATTCATTTCTATGAAGTTTGAGAATTTTTAGAAATAGTTGGATTTTCCGGCAAGTCGGGGCGGCCGACTGCCACCAGCGGCGGCGCGTGGCCAGTGAGCCGCCAATGCTATTTTTAGGCTATGTCGAATGTTTTGAATTCAGTTTTGTCATTTGAATGACATAGGTTGATCGTTGGAACCTAAATTCGTTACGATACGTTACTTGATAAAAATGTGAATCGATGATCCAACCGTTGGATCGTCACCAAAATTGGATATATTATAATACATAATATTTAAAGATCATAGGAATTTACGGATCGGGAATCCGACTTACGGATCATCCTGAATTAGATTTGTAACTTAGTAAAATAAATGTTCATGGCCACTTGTTTTAGGCAATTGGAGGAGATCTGACTGTTGAATCGTAATGAAATTTTAATATGTTATTCTAGAAACATATTGTGGATCGTTGGGAGTTGCGGATTGGAAATCTGATATGCGGATCTTCCGAGTTAAGTTATACAGGGTTGTAAACCCTACCGTCGATCTTTGATCGACGGTTGACTTGTGGTCAATGGGTATCAAACTATTTTAGAATGTCGTTGAGGTTGTGTTTTATGTGAATTACGTATTCTACGGATAAGAGTTCTGAGATGTGATTTGATAATTGGCCACAGGGACCGATCATTCAGGACGCCTCGATGCGTGCGCTAGAGAAGTATAGCGTGGACTCCAGGTGAGTGAATCTTTTCCTTTTTATTGTGCATATTATTGAGAGTTCTATTGACAATTTTAAATTGATTAGGTATATTACCTTTATATAATTATTGTGAATGCTTGAAGTACCTATATGAACTACGAATGGTTTGATCCCTGTTTAGGGTACGTAGGCAGTCTAACGAGACGTTAGATGCAGCCATAAAATATTTGAGACAAAAGCCTTGCTTGAGAAATTGAGTAATGCGAAGGAAATTGGTAAAGACAAGTTTTAGTTTTGTGAATTAGTTAGTTAAATTAGAGTTAATTGGGTTGTCATAGATAATTATCCCTGAAAATAAGTAGTTTGGGAGTAGGGCGTTATTGATTGTACACTTCACACCATATTGTCTATAATTGAAAATGCTACGACATGGTTGAGTAGTAGATTGCATCATGATATATCTATATGTATATTACTTGCATATAATTATTGGGAATGCTTTCAAGTGCAAAGGTGAACTCAGGACATCCAGGTAAGTTCAAGTGAGTTTATGGTACTAGTTGAATTGATTGCGTTATAGCATGACTACAGTTATGAGTTAGGCAACTTCGATACTGTCGTACTGGTTGCCATGAGTTGCACATGTTATATTGAGATGCATTGAGAGCTCATAAACCTGCACCCTGGTGTTAGTGCTCCCGCCAATGGCCAGGGCACAGTCCTTCACGTGATGTTCACCTCCCGCACCTTACGCTCACCTTGGATCCAAGGGGGGTGCACAGTCATGTCGTACAGACCACTTTAGGTGGTTCCGACTCGTAGGTGACCTGCGATTATTCGCCCAGTCTTCACGTGATTGTAGCACTTGAGCGTATTTATTTACACTCAGTCCTGTCGTATAGACCACTTTACGTGGTTCAAACTCGTGTGCAGGTATACTTATTGAGCTATTGGCTAGCCAGGATTGATGAGATATGAATAAGTCGTACAGGTCACTATAGGTGGCTCCAACTTATATGCTAGCCAGGATTGATGAGATATGGATAAGTCGTGCAGGTCACTATAGGTGACTCCGATTTATATGCTAGCCATGATTGATGAGATACGGATAAGTTGTACATGTCATTTTAGATGACTCTAACTGATATATCACTGTGTATTGATTTAGTTCATTTGGCCTACTTATTAATGTATGTTGGATTTGATGGCAAATCGTGGTTTTTGTCATGTCTGAGTATCGTTTGGATATATGTATATATGTTGTACTGTCTTATGGAAAACGATACGGGTTTTACTTTTAAAGAGGTAATAATTTTGGAAAGCTTGGTTTTATTGCTTACTCACACCTTTTGTTTGGTGCCCTCCAGGTTTTAGCTGCTGAGTTTGTATTGACAAGAATCTGTGGCGAATCTTAGTATTGATGGATATTTTTGAGGGTATGATTCTTACCCACACTACTGTACCTTACTTATGCTCTGACATCGCGTGTGAAATGGGTTCGCTCCCACTCGCAGCGCACTCTGGTATTTAGACACTTTTAGATTCAAATTCATTCACTTTTTATACACTATCACATTTTATGGCATCGTCACCTTCTAGGTGTCGGCCAGCACAGCTCGATTTAGGGTCTAAGTGTACTTTTTGGATCGGGGTGTGTCAGGTATCATACGAAGAAAATGGGTGATAAAATTTCAAAATAGAAAAAATATATGAGGTAATAATTAAAAGTGATTTTGTTTTATAACAAAAATGTTATTCTTACTGGAGAACATTTTTCCTCACCACCATAAACTTTGACGTATGCTTACCATACACTTAATCATCTGCTATGTGTTATTTCATTTAACTTTAGTTTATTTTTTTATTATCTATTTGTATCATATCTCTAAATATATATGGAACCCACATATGTTGATAGACTCTATTTTTATTAGATCGATGATAAAAATAGATAGAAAGTGGACTATTTCTCTTTTTATGGATAAGAGTGAAATTTTTGAAAAATAACTAAAATAAAATTATATTATTATATAGAAGCTACCTGCCAGTGTGGAGTTGACGAAAAACATTTGGGCGGGAAGTTTAGGGAAGAAGGAGTTGGCGGCAGCAGGGCAGGAAACAAGACAGTAGGAGCGGGCGTGTGTCGTACAATCTTTAATCTTATCCTAACTCATGAAAAGCATTTCGAGTTCGGACAATTACACTTACATCACTATTCATAACGTAAAACTACTCAACCTGTACTCTTGTTTTAAGTTACGAGAAATGCAAAGAAGAGTCATCATGAACTTTCTTTCATCTTATACTTTTAGCATAATATTTTATAATATTAACATCAAAATCGACGTAAAACTATAAAATAACAGAGAATTCTTAAATATTCTTACTTTAAGAGAGTCTAGTTGATATTTCTCTTAAGTTATTGTGTTATAATAATTAGCTAAAGTTTTAACATAGTGGCGAAAACAAGGTGATAAAAAGTAGGATTTCTAACTCAGAGTATAATACTGTAAAACCTCATACAGCTGTACTCTATATTATGAATAATCTCCATTTAGTTATAAAAAAAAAATTAAAAAAAAAAATTGGTCTTAACTTTCTTTCCATTGTAAACAGAAGAGAACATATTAATCAAACTTTCCTTCCATATCGATAAAAGTTAGATATGAAATTTGAACTATTACATGTTACAAAATGTGCGAGTTTAATTTGAAATTTGTCTTAAATTTGTACGCTTTTTACATTTGTTAAAATTTAAATACATTATTTGAACTATCACATTTACAAAAAACGCGCGTTAAGTTTACGTGGCATCTTAAGTTTGAATGTGTCCGACCATTAGAGCAATATTAACGCGGACGATTGATTGCAGTATTTAATTGTTAAAAAAAATGCGTGAATTTACATAGCGTTGGAAATTTGAATACATATGACCGTTAGAGCCATATCGACGCAAACGATTGATTGCAGTACTCAAATGTTCAATAAAACGCGCGAATTTACGTAGCGCCGAAAATTTGAATACATGTGACTCAATTGATCAATGAAAGGGGTGAGGATTTTCTTTCTTGCCAACAAATGCTACGAAATTTATTTGCCAAATAAGTATTGCTTGGGAATTGCTCTCAAAGGAAATATGAACTGAAACGCACAAGCCCAACCAGCATGACTAGAACTGCAAATTTGAAAGAAACAGAAGCTTACAGACTTCAAATTTGAAAAGAACAAGAGATAAGAACAAAAGCAGTTTTAGTCCCAAACAAAACCTCCATCAATTCAGCCTGAAAAATTCCAAAATCCTACTGCAGAAACCCAACTCAGCTGCCACTCTGCACCAGCAACTCCTCTTTAAAACCCTCTCTCTCTCTCTCTCTCTTCCCCCTCCCTCGAATGCTTCATTTAAACCTTCAGCTATCTCTCTCTAGACTCCAGAACCCATTTTGATTCCCCCAAACCCAATTTCCAGCTCCCAAAAAGATCTCACCTTTACCCTTCAAATTGTTCAATCCAATGGATCACAGCAACCCAAATAAATAAATTTGAGTCCGACCCCTTGAAAATCACAAACCCAATTGCTGAAATCAAACCGTTTCGAAAGCCCTTTGATTTATCGTGATGAATTCTGTAGACACTCACCCACTCATCGGCTACTCAATCGGCGACGAGCTCTTCCAAAACCGGCGGCTCATGCGCCACGGTCCGCCACCGTTGCGGGGCGCGATGCGAATCCTTTCGCGCGTCAGCGGGCGCCGAATGAGGCTGCGCGAGCCGTCGGTTCGGGTCCGGGAGAACGCGTTGGAGGAGCTGGAAGAGCGGCAGAACTTCTGGGCTTACTCGGAGCCCGCCATAATTCTGGACCTGCTGTGGAATTTGGTTTTCGTGATTGTTGGGTTCACTGTGCTGGGGCTGAGCGTGGAGGAGAAGCCCTTGGTGCCTATGAGGGTTTGGGTTGTTGGGTACATTTTGCTGTGTGTTGTTCATGTTGGGTGTGTGGTTGCGCAGTATCGGAGGAGGCGCGAGGAGGGCGAGGCGGGTTCGGGTGAGGTGGGTTGGGGGAGTATTGGGAGTGAGAGTTCGGCGTCGGGGGGTAATGTTGGGGGTTATGGGGGTGAGCATGGTCTGGCTGATGATGATACAAGGTAAACAATTTTGGAGATTATAATTATTATTCTCAACTGTTTGTAGAAATTAGGATTAAAAGTACACACATCAATGACTTTATGATGTAGAAGTTTGAATTTTGATTCAAATGTTGCATGTATGATCAATTTTTTTTTAAAGTATGCATTTATGCATGTGTTGTGATAATGTTATAAGGAATAGTGGATAGGAAATTTCGTGTTCATTGGTTTAGTACAACGGAAATGGGAAGTATGGTTTCTAAGTCAGTATAAGAGGGTGAGCGTTTTTCGAATTGTGGAGTAGTATTGCTGTTCATATATAGTTGCTCATTTGGCAAGCTTTTTAGCTTTTTTTTTTTAAATTAGTTCAATTCTGTTCTCTATTTAGATATGTACAATCGAGCAGGGTGTGCATTCTACGATGTCCTTTATCTGATAACTAAAGTCAGTCTGTTTTCAATTTTGCGGTGCATTTGTTGTGAATGTGATATTCTCCGCTTAGAACTAATCTTGTGTGGCTCTATCCCATGAAGTATATTTAACTATCTTCATTTTTTGTGCAACAGTGTCACCACGAGTCTGGAGTCAGCCATTAGCATGTTTTCATTTATATGGTGGAGCATTGGCTTCTACTGGGTGCTTAATGGCGGCCAGACTTTGCTATCCAGTTCACCTCGCCTTTACTGGTTACGATTGAACTGTTTTTACTCTGAAGTGGTTTCTTTTGAGTGATTGTCTTGAATGTGTGTGCGTGTGTGTCCGCACGTGTTTGAACTGTATACACTCTGCTCTTTTCTTGCAGGCTCTGTGTTTCATTTCTAGTTTTTGATGTCACCTTCATCATTGTATGTGTTGCTGCTTCATGTCTTGTCGGAATTGCAATCTGCTGCTTCCTTCCATGCATAATTGGAATCTTATGTGCTGTGACAGATCAGGTAGACCTCCATAAGGATTGTATGCAAGCTTTAGTTTATTGTCTAGAAAGAGTCAGCTTCATATAATCTTTCCTCTGATCATGTGACTTGAGCTGAATTAAAAATTTTTTGCTCTCATCTAAGCTTAAAATTCATGCTGTACGTGATTATATGATATACCTCTACATAGAGAATAAACAAAATGATACAGCATATTCAGTGATAATAGGAAGTTAGTAGATCTCGTCAATGCACGTGTCATGCACATTATGTACAAATATGGAAATATGTGAATGGAAACCAATGATACTTGACTATGCGGTGATTGGCCAATAGGATAATAGATTTGCTGGTCATTGTTGTGTTTTGTATGTTTGTGGTTTCTTATATTATTAGACAAAGTGTGAGAGCATCTCCGGTACTAAATGGAGATGTATAGGCACATTTAGACCTCTTGTTCCAATGGGAGTTGTATTTGGGCTATAAAACCAGCAACTAGCCGACAAATGTATAAATAGTTGCAAATTTGCATCTGTTTTGAGTCGTACTTTGGAGGGCCCCACGAACAAAAACAAGTTCAAGAATGAGTGAAACGTGTGAAGCCAAGAGAAAGGAAAAATAAAGGGCAGTAATTACTTTCTTGATTTGACACTAAACGGCTGGGATTAAATTCCCAATATTACATCCTGTAAGTGCATCCAACCCACTGGAGGAAAAACCACTAGAGATGCAATTTTGGATGTAAAATGTGATTTTACATCCCAAATTTGCATCTCCCCATTGGACACGCTCTGATACATGTGAAGGCTGCTGACTCGTAATCTCATTCGATATTTATAAGGAATTCTTACCTGTTGATGACTTCATTCTCTCCTTCAATTTCATCACGAACCAGATGTGAACTCCCTATTTAAGTTGAAGCATTAGATCTCATGCTTTCTATTTTATGCCAATGTTTGAGTTCGAGTTTTCTGTAGAGACAATTAATTTGAATGAGGTGTCCTTACACTTTCCTATCTTGCACTAGTGAATTAATTCGATTCTACTCAATCATATATGTAGTTATATAACTTCATACGACTTCTGGATGAAACAGGATGGGGCAACAGAAGAAGAGATTGATGGATTGCCAAAGTTCAAATTCAGGAGGGTAGGTGACTCAGAGAAAGTTAATGGTGAGGTCCAAGCTTTTGAAGGATTCATGGTCGAATGTGACACCAATGCACCAACTGAGCGTCCTATTTCCCTGGTTGATGCTGTAAGTTTCCTTGTGCCCTTATATCAGATCCCTACCGCGTCCTAATTGGCTTATACTTATAGTTGTATTCTGTTGTGTAATTTTGGCAGCTCATGCACCATATCTACCATAGCTGGTCCAGTAATAGGATTGTTGGTGCCATAGCTTTTCGTTCCAAACTTCTTTTGGATTTTGTTGATAGTCCTTCCCTTACAATCCCCCTCCCTTTCCAATTTCTTATAAAAGAGCATTTCACTAATTTACTCCCTTAATCTGCTGCTGATTTCACCCCTTGAAACCCCACTGCCGATTTTCACCCCAAACTTTTATATCGGCCAGTCCCCATCGCCCCTACCTTCATGTTTACCCACATTCCGTCCCCATTTTTTGTCCAAAAATGTCACATGCCGGTCATTTAATGTGAAGTTTTCAATAAAAAGTTAGATGAAACACGGGGAACATGATCGTAGGTGGGAAACCGGCCATATACAATAGTTTTGGGTGAAACCATGCAAATCTTGTCTCTGGATCTCTAATGTGCTCCCAAGTGATCATTTGACGTTTGATTTGGCAATTCATCACTGTGAAAAAGTATACGACTAGAAGGCCCTCGTGACATGAATATTTTTCGTAAATTGCAGGAATGCTGCATCTGCCTTTCTGTCTACGAGAATGGAGCAGAACTACGCGAGCTTCCTTGCCTTCATCACTTTCACTGCACTTGCATAGACAAATGGTTACATATCAATGCTATCTGCCCTATGTGTAAGTTCAACATTTTGAAGCCTCATGACCGACGTGAAATCGGGCAAGTGTAAACGGGATCAAATATATCGATATTAGGGAAACCGAAATCGATATGTTATGTGTATTAAGTTAGTGTAAACTAACTTGTTATAATGCTAAATAAGAAAATAAAATATATGGTGCTTAATTAATGCGTGGGGGATTATTTTTCATGAAGGATTAGGCATTAAACAAAAAGATTTGGGTAAACATTCAAGTAGACATTTTTATGTTTAAAAGAAAATTGGATGGGTCCCTAAATTTTAGTGTAATTCGAGCTTTGGTCCATTAATTAAAACTTCATGAGCGTTGATCTTTTAACTTATCACATTGTAAGGCAATGGGTTTTTTGGGTAGATTTGTTAAAACTTTCATTTCCTATTTTTCGTTTAAACTTTATATTCAGAATGAAAGTTTTAATGGTTTTACTTGAAAGAACAATTATTCATGAAATTTGAGCTCATGGACCAAAACTTCTATTGGGCCACAAAAGGTAGCTAGTAAATCAACGACGAATGGGAAAGTATTGTTAGAAAGTGGCAAACTGTCTAGGTGGTTAAGGGCATCTTTTTCAACTCATTGCGATCCGGGTTCAAATCCTCTCCTATCCCCCTCTAGTGTAGATTAGTATTTTGTTTGGTCAAACATAGTGTAGGTTAGTACAGAATATTGTTTGCATTGAGAAACAACCAATGGGAGAAGCTCACATGGCTGAACATGATAAGCTTGGAGTATCGCTATATGGATGTTCCGTCGTTTACATTGACATGTTTCTCCCAACCCTTGGTGCTTGTTTCTTGGAGAGTCCTCTCTCTAGGGAGGGTAATTCAAACCGTTAAACCCGATAATCGTAGATAACTGTTCGAATAAAACGAATTTTGGATGAAAATTCGATTATATTTTGGATATGAGGAAAAACTGGAAATATTATTCGGTGATAGTTTCGATATGGTTATAGGGTTCCCAATCCATATCCGTTTCCAAAACTAACCCGAATAGTACATATTATATATAATATGATTTATATTATGATAATATAATACTATATTTACCGAATCCATTACCTGGAGAATTACAAGCTTTGCATTTAATTTGTGGGAAAGTTCAAAAGTTTTGAATCAAAACTAATGAGAATTCAATGCTGCTTATGGAAGAGATCAAAGATCAGCCAATATCATCAATGTATATAATATCTTATAATGACAAAATTAGTATCTATCATGTTATAATGCGTTAATTAAATGAATATATTTTTGGTATCGACGAAGATAGAAATAACCGATAACCGATAAGAAATCTATTTCCCGATAGATATGATTATGGATCATCACCGATAGTTAATTTGTAATTATAAATATAGTTAATTTTCGTAGTTACGGTATAGATATAATATTTCCGTTTTATTTGTTGCCATTCCAATCGCTTTTCCCTCTTGTTTATTTAACAATGACGCAAAGCATATGACTTTTCGGTAAAGTCAAAGCTGGTCTGCGTTACTGGACCGCCGCCGCTGGCGGCTGGCTGTTTCAAATTTCAACGGTAAAAACTTGTTGATTCCTCCGCCTTGTAAATAGTATTATTATTATATATACTAGCATTTGTTTATACATTTTATGTATGAACACATATTTTTTTAGAAAATGAGATGGAGAGAGGGAGAAAGAGAGAACCTGGGGGAGTGGTAGGTTTCTGCTTCTGAGTTATTTTTTTATTTATTTTTTATTTTTAATATTGAAGATATTTTAACATCACCGATAGGTGAGATTTCAATAAAAAAAAGTAAAATTTGAACCTGTGAAATTACATTATTATCCAACATTTTTTTGATTAATAGAAGACTAATTTGTTTTTTCATCTACTTTTGATTGACAAAAAATATTTCATTAATTAATAGAGATATACACCACCGGCAGCCGCTGCTGCCACATTGTAAATGCGTTGTGTAAGCATAAAAATAGAAGAAAAGGTGGACGGTGATATTGTAATTTATATGTCAATTTTCAGGATTAGACAATTTGGACTGCATGAAATTTGTATTGACCATCATCACAGAATTGCCTATACCTTAAGTCAATCGCAATAGTTTTTTTAGTTTATTTTATCTATATATATATAAAATGAGCATCCTAAAATGATGAAACATTCAAAATACCATAAATTGCCCTTTAAAAATTTCATAAATTACAATTGAACCAAAAGAAGCTAAAGTATTTAACCATATTTTTATTTTGAATGCATTTAATATTTAAAATTAAAAAAAAAACAAAAACAAAACCTCCCACGTTAGTGGGTGGTTTCATGTCTTTAATTCATTTTTTTTAAAATAATTTTTTAAAAATATGTAAATTAATTATTTAAATAAAAAAATATAAAAAGATCAATTGCCACACTCAATAGTAATATTTATTATTTGAAAGAGATAGGTTCGAAGTTGTGACATCTTTCAATGACTTGGATGAAAAATACCTCCCGACTAAATTAATTCATTAATAATTAATTTGATTTGGTTAAGCGGTTTAGCAGATATTCTTCAGTTTTCAAACATGTTCCAAATTCATATTACTACTAATAATCAATGTTTACGTAGACTAAAGAGAAGTAATGAGGAAATTAGGAGAGAAAAAACCAAGTATGAAATGAGATCAATCTAATTTACCATTTTCAAGTAGTAGACTACATACTAAGATTATAGTAGGAAATTTGCATAATCTTTTATTTCATTCACGAAAAAACCAACAATGGTTTAATTGAATTCGATGCAGTGTAGGTCTCACAGCTCCCTATTTTTCTAAATAATTGCGAATTCCTTCCTTGAAGGCTCTCTCTCTCTCTCTCTCTATATATATATATGAGGGAAATAAACTTCTTTTAGTCAAAAGGAAAACAATCAAGTATTGTAATTTGTAACAATGAATTCAATGATTGCATAAAATTTTCTTCAAGAACACAAAAGTCATTGAGTTTGCATTCTCATTAACCAGAGAGTAAAATTAGGTAGATCAATTTTTTAGATTACATTTGTAAATTATTATGTGTTACTAATAAAAATAAGCACATTAATCAACACTACTAATTCAGTCATCAACAAACACGCTATATAATTTATAAAATATAATTTAAATAAATGGTCTCTCGAACACTACTCTTAATGAGAAAAATCTAAATCCTCTAATATTTACACACAAAATTGTGAGTGGGACTCAAAAGAAAAAGAAGTTTGCACGGAAGTAAGCGCAATAACGTTCGAGCTTCCATACAATCGACCATACTTAATGAGATAATGTTTTGTTGTCGTTGGTTTCTGCAGGTGAATCTTCAATAATTTTTCTGATAAGCACCGTACCAAACGGGAACTCCTATCGCAACGCCGCCGCCAGAATTATTGTTCCCAGCCGCCGGAAACCCCATTTTCGAGTGAGACGACGTCGTTGAACTTGAGCAAGCGTACATCTCCGGAACCTTCATTCTCACAGAAATATTAATAATCCCATTCCTCTCCCCCATGTGATTCCTCAGCCTGTAACTCAAAAAATGCAAGTAACCCTCCGGCACGTACCCACCTACAAAATCAGACGCCGGGATCGACGCCGTCCCGATCGTCCTGACGCCGTACGACGTCTTGCATTGGACCTCCACCGTGATGGACCTCGAGTGAGTTGGCATGTCGAGCACGAGCTTCTCGTTCCATCGAGGGTAGGAGCCGCCTTCAGTTTCCATTTCCGTGGTGCGAAACTGACTGTTGGTGTCGGTCCGGACGGTGACGGAGGCGTTTTTCTTGATGGGTTTTCGATCTAATTTCAGATTCTCGGCGGAGATGACCGTGATCTCGAGCGTCCGGGAACTGGCTGCCATGGTGGATGAAGAGTGCGCGTTGAGAGGAACTAGGTGTGGGCGGGGAGGGGTTATATTGGAATAGGGGATGGGATTGTCTGCCCTCCGCTAACCATCCCTTTTCCATCCCATTATATTTGAACGGTTACGGTTAAGGCATAGTAATATTTTATATTAATTTTTTTTTATAAATATATTAAAATAAAAAGTAATATAAATATAAAATAATAACGTAATTTAATCGTAACCATTTAAATAGAAGAGGATGGTAAGTAGAGGACAGACAATTCCATCGTGGAGTAGGAGCGTTGAGGGAAGGGTGCGAGAAAGGAGAGAGCAACAGCCACGTTTCTTCTGTGGAATCCGAACTGGACTATTATACAAAAATACGCGCCGTATTTTGAATGGATAAGAAAGTGAGTGGCACAAGTGCAATTTGCATTCCTATTTGGGTTTGGGTGGTTTCCAAGTTGACTTTTGGGACTTTAAATGGGTTATGAGTTTTCTAAGAGATAAACTTTTTGGTATTTATATATGTATGTATAAGTTAGTGTAAATTAATTAACTTGTTGTAACTGCTAAATAAGAACGTATGGTAGATGGTAACAATGCTCAATGTGTGGAGGATTATGTTTCATGAAGTATTAGGCATAAGTAGACAATTTTTTTATAAGAGTTAAATTAGGAGTAGTCGCTCACTTGTGTTGGTGTGAGTATCAACATGATTTTTTTTTTTTCCGGATAATTTTGTTAGAGACATCTGTCTACGCATCATTGGTGTATGTTTCATGGTAAGGCTGGTACAAATCTACAACATTTTGACAAAGGAACGTGATCCTAACTATATCATTTTTGTGAGGATCCTAAAAATCAGTGCATATTTTCCATTTAACAATTATCATACAATTAAAAATAATTTTAAATTTTTTATTTAAAATTAAACATAAACGATCGAGATGAATTGATCTATAACATCATGACAAAGAGAATCCATGGCAGATTCTCATCCTTTGAGAAAGGATTATGCCGGGGACATGTGGACTGCAAGGGTATTTTATTACCATTGGGTGGGTGCGGGGCAGCCTGGCGGCACATCGTAAATGTAAATGCGTTGTGTAAGCATAAAAATTAGGGGTGGGTTCAAAAAACCGAAAACCGAAAAAAAACCGACAACCGAACCGGACCGAGGTTGAAAAAAACCGAACCGAACCGAATCTGACCAGTTCGGTTTCGATTTTTGAGGCTCGGAAACCGAACCGAACCGAATCGATATATATATATATATAATTTTTTTGAATATTTATAAATAGTTTAGTCATACAATCATAACAAAACAGAACCTGTTGCCAAGTTGGTTTCAATGAAACTTTACAAGTTGGAGGCATGGGTTCGAACCCTCATGCCTCTAGGATTTGTGAGGTTATTTTTAATTTTTTAATCTTTTTAACAAAACCCTTAAACCTTTATTGCATTTGATTTTGTTAGATTATTTTAAATAACATTTTAATTAGTATCTTTTCTTTTATTATTTCTATGTAGAAATGGCAAGCGGAAGTTCAAAAAAAGGTGATATGTTGCCCCCTAGGCCACCCAAGCGTTAGCAAGCAAATTGTCGTTGAAAAAGTACGTGGATCACTCTCATTGTGGGGCACTTGAGTTGAAAGTTGAAATTTGGAATGTTTATTTTAGTCTTTTAGATGTGGAATACTTGAACTTTGATGTTTATTTTAAGTTTGGACTTTTGGAAGATTTAAACTTTGATGTTTATTTAACTTTGGACTTTGGAACACTTGATTATAATTAAACTTTGAATTGAATGTTTATTTTCATTGTCTTTGAGTTGAGACTATGATTATATTAGAAATTTGGAATGCTTATTTTGAGTCTTGACGATTATGTTGAAATAGGACTTATTACAAAATGGATGCAAGTTGTTTTCATATACTTTTTTTAAGCTACTTGGGGAAAAAAGCAAAAAAAAAAAAAAAAAAAAAAAAAAAAAAAAACCGAACCGGGCCGAAACCGAACCGAATACAAACTGAACCGAACACAAACCGATAGAAAACCGAACCGAACGGAATCGAACCCACCCCTAATAAAAATAGAAGAAAAGGTGGACGGTGATATTGTAATTTACATGTCAATTTTCAAGATTAGACAATTTGGACTGCATGAAATTTGTATTGACCATCATCACAGAATTGCCTATACCTTAAGTCAATCGCAATAGTTTTTTTAGTTTATTTTATCTATATATATAAAATGAGCATCCTAAAATGATGAAACATTAAAAAAACCACGTTAGTGGGTGGTTTCATGTCTTTAATTCATTTCTTTTTTTTTTAATAATTTTTAAAAAATATGTAAATTAATTATTTAAATAAAAAAATATAAAAAGATCAATTGCCACACTCAATAGTAATATTTATTATTTGAAAGAGATAGCTTCGAAGTTGTAACATCTTTCAATGACTTGGATGAAAAATACCTCCCAACTAAATTAATTCATTAATAATTAGTTTGATTTGGTTAAGCGGTTTAGCAGATATTCTTCAGTTTTCAAACATGTTCCAAATTCATATTACTACTAATAATCAATGTTTACGTAGACTAAAGAGAAGTAATGAGGAAATTAGGAGAGAAAAAACCAAGTATGAGATGAGATCAATCTAATTTACCATTTTCAAGTACTAGACTACATACTAAGATTATAGTAGGAAATTTGCATAATCTTTTATTTCGTTCACGCAAAAACCAACAATGGTTTAATTGAATTCGATGCAGTGTAGGTCTCACAGCTTCCTATTTTTCTAAATAATTGCGAATTCCTCCCTTGAAGGCTCTATATATATATATGAGGGAAATAAACTTCTTTTAGTCAAAAGGAAAACAATCAAGTATTGTAATTTGTAACAATGAATTCAATGATTGCATAAAATTTTCTTCAAGAACACAAAAGTCATTGAGTTTGCATTCTCATTAACCAGAGAGTAAAATTAGGTAGATCAATTTTTTAGATTACATTTGTAAATTATTATGTGTTACTAATAAAACTAAGCACATTAATCAACACTGCTAATTCAGTCATCAACAAACACGCTATATAATTTAAATAAATGGTCTCTTTAACACTATGAGAAAAATCTAAATCCTCTAATATTTACACACAAAATTGTGAGTGGGACTCAAAAGAAAAAGAAGTTTGCATAGAACTAAGCGCAATAACGTTCGAGCTTTCACACAATCGACCATGCTTAATGAGATAATGTTTTGTTGTCGTTGGTTTCTGCAGGTGAATCTTCAATAATTTTTCTGATAAGCACCGTACCAAACGGGAACTCCTATCGCAACGCCGCCGCCAGAATTATTGTTCCCAGCCGCCGGAAACCCCATTTTCGAGTGAGACGACGTCGTTGAACTTGAGCAAGCGTACATCTCCGGAACCTTCATTCTCACAGAAATATTAATAATCCCATTCCTCTCCCCCATGTGATCCCTCAGCCTGTAACTCAAAAAATGCAAGTAACCCTCCGGCACGTACCCACCTACAAAATCAGACGCCGGGATCGACGCCGTCCCGATCGTCCTGACGCCGTACGACGTCTTGCATTGGACCTCCACCGTGATGAACCTCGAGTGAGTTGGCATGTCGAGCACGAGCTTCTCGTTCCATCGAGGGTAGGAGCCGCCTTCAGTTTCCATTTCCGTGGTGCGAAACTGACTGTTGGTGTCGGTCCGGACGGTGACGGAGGCGTTTTTCTTGATGGGTTTTCGATCTAATTTCAGATTTTCGGCGGAGATGACCGTGATCTCGAGCGTCCGGGAACTGGCTGCCATGGTGGATGAAGAGTGCGCGTTGAGAGGAACTAGGTGTGGGCGGGGAGGGGTTATATTGGAATAGGGGATGGGATTGTCTGCCCTCCGCTAACCATCCCTTTTCCATCCTATTATATTTGAACGGTTACGTTAAGGCATAATAATATTTTATATTAATTTTTTTTATAAATATATTAAGATAAAAAGTAATATAAATATAAAATAATGACGTAATTTAATCGTAACCATTTAAATAGAAGAGGATGGTAAGTAGAGGGCAGACAATTCCATCGTGGAGTAGGAGCGTTGAGGGAAGGGTGCAAGAAAGGAGAGAGCAACAGCCACGTTTCTTCTGTGGAATCCGAACTGGACTATTATACAAAAATACGCGCCGTATTTTGAATGGATAAGAAAGTGAGTGGCACAAGTGCAATTTGCATTCCTATTTGGGTTTGGGTGGTTTCCAAGTTGACTTTTGGGACTTTAAATGGGTTATGAGTTTTCTAAGAGATAAACTTTTTTGTATTTATATATGTATGTATAAGTTAGTGTAAATTAATTAACTTGTTGTAACTGCTAAATAAGAACGTATGGTAGATGGTAACAATGCTCAATGTGTGGAGGATTATGTTTCATGAAGTATTAGGCATAAGTAGACAATTTTTTTAAAAGAGTTAAATTAGGAGTAGTCGCTCACTTGTGTTGGTGTGAGTATCAACATGATTTTTTTTTTTTTCCCGAATAATTTTGTTAGAGACATCTGTCTACGCATCATTGGTGTAGGTTTCATGGTAAGGCTGCTACAAATCTACAACATTTTGACAAAGGAACGTGATCCTAACTATATCCTTTTTGTGAGAATTCTAAAAATCAGTGCATATTTTTCATTTAACAATTATCATACAACTAAAAATAATTTTAAATTTTTTATTTAAAATTAAACATAAATGATCTATAACATCATGACAAAGAGAATCCATGGCAGATTCTCATCCTTTGACAAAGGATTATGCCGGGGACATGTGGACCGCAACGGTATTTTATTACCATTGGGTGGGTGCGGGGCAGTCTGGCGGCACATCGTAAATGTGTTGTGTAAGCATAAAAGTCAAGAAAAAGGTGCGGGCGTAGCTGTATATGTCATTTTCAAGATTTCGGCTGCACGAGATGTGCATTGACTTTATAATCAGAGAGAAAGAGAGTTGCCTGGTGTCGTGTTTCATACAACATGAATTTTTTTTGGTTCCTGTCCTTGTGCGCACTTTGGATTCTTTGTGAAAAACAAGCGGCTATGCACAAATTGCGGCTCCACTTTGGATTATTTTTCAACAACTTCATAATTCTTATGACTTGATAATATAAATTATTTTGGAGAATAAGATATTACATTCTCGCATGACAAAATAAATATACGAGAGAGACTTTATTTTTAAAAATTTATCGAGATTTTATGTAATAAAATTTAACGCTTGGTAAAAAGTAATTAAGGGCATCTTCAAAGAAAAAAAATACAAATTAGAGATGCAAAAATTATATTTACATTCCATTTTACATTTTTTGCATATGCAAATGAAGAATCTACTTCAATGAGAATGTAAATTTGTGATCCCAATTAATTTTCTTTCTTTGATTAGTGGGGGACCTACACTAAAAATGTAAAGTTGTGAATGACAATGAATGATGTATTGGATTACTTGTTTTGTAAGCCACTTGTTTGTCGAGTTGTTAACAACTTAAGTAATCTGATAGTACTAATAAAATAAGGATTATGGAGTCTTATCCTTTGCAATTGACCTAAAGAAATCTGATGGATTTTGCGACTTTCGTAGCTGTTAATAGGCCGGCTAATAAGGAACCCCAATGATATATAAATACTAGATTAAATCCCTGCTTCCATATGTTGAATTCCTCAGAATACTAAAACCTATTCATATAGTAGAGGGATATTTTGGAGTATTGGAAGGATAAGGCAACCTTTGTGAACTCATCTTTTGTCATCTGGAAGAGTCATGTTTTCGTATTCTACAAATAAGTTCAATATATTTAGTTCATCTCTATTTTATATTGATTTGATTTGTTCGTGATCCTAATGTCTTATTGTTGTGATTTCAGAATATATCTTACATGTGGTATCAGAGCCGCATAACAAGCTTAGGATATGATATAAAGGTATAAGCAAAATTGTTTATTGAAGATGATTCACTTACTAAAGAAAATTTGCTTATCGTTTTGGTTGGATGCCTTCTACAGTTCCATCTCATGAAAATTTGTTTTGATGCTTTCGCAATTTTGTGTTGGTGTGCAATGATTTTTCGTGGTTAATAATATATGGATTGGTCTGGGTGGTGACTATGCATAGTGCTACCGTTAAGTAGTTTTCATGAAATTTAATTATTTATTTTTATGAGAAAAAGGTGCGGGGCAGCCTGTCGGCACATCGTAAATGTGTTGTGTAAGCATAAAAGTAGAGAAAAAGGTGCGGGCGTAGCTGTATATGTCATTTTCAAGATTTCGGCTGCACGAGATGTGCATTGAATTTATACTCCAAGAGAAAGAGAGTTGCCTGGTGTCGTGTTTCAGAGCAACTCCACCGTCGGTGGATGCTCGGAGGACAGGCCCGAGGTCTTGTGGATCGGTTCCAGTGTGAAGGAGTCCAAGTGGAGGTGGAGGCCCGAGCTTCGGGCCCGTGAAGAATTGCTAGCCCCAGAGCCCGAGTGGATGTGATGTCAGGGCTGACGTCAGCCTGGCATTAGGCTTTTTTTTAATTTTTTTTTTGTCAGGCGCATGCACCCCACTCGTGCTTGAGGGCGCGTCGCCGACACAATTTTAGAAAAATCAGCTCCCTTTTCAGATTCAAAAGTTACCGTTGGAAAGCCACATGGCTTCCCATGGTCCGTTCGATCTCAACGGCTCTTTAACTTGGACCGTTCGATCTCAACGGAAAAAAAAATAAAAAAAATCTTATTTAATATCCACCGTTCGATCTGAGATCAACGGTCGATATTAATATGCTTTATAAATAAATAAATAAAAGAAAAAATAGTTTTAAATTTAGAAAAGTTACCGTTGTGACACGTGGCACAATCTGGAGTGTTGGAATTCAAATTTTTTAATATCCAACGGCAGATATTAATTAGTTGAATAAAAATTTAAAAAAAATTGTAAAAAATTCGAAAAAAAATCTGAATTTTTTTTTTTAAAAAAATTGTTTTTACTTTTCTATAAATACCTTCTCATTATCATCTACCTTACACCACAATTTCATATTTTCTCAACTACTTTCAATCACATTCCTTTCTTTCTCTCAAAGTTTCAATCCATTTTCAACAAAATGACTACTGATGCAGGTACGAATTGATCGCTTCTTGAAGATGTTGCGTTGTGTACTAGTTGGGTTGAAGTTACTCATAGTTCACTTACGGGTAATGAGATGCAGTTGCGAGAAATGTGGAGTCTTATTCATACCAATTATCTTGAGAAAATTGGTGGGAAAAGAACCAAAGAGTCGATGTCCAATCGTTGAAAATTACTTAGCCAATCGTTTAGTACGTGGAGAGACGCCTTGGCACGAGCTAGTAGTAATATTCAAAGTGGGGAAAATTACTCGGATCAGGTAACAATATATTATTTATTTGTTTGTACTATACCCAAATTTACATTATAATTATTTGTTTGTATTATTTATTTGTTACCTACTTACATTATAATTATTTGTTTGTATTATTTATTTGTTACCTACTTACATTATAATTATTTGTTTGTATTATTTATTTGTTACCTATTTTCATTATAATTATTTCTTCTCCTGCATTGTGTAGGAACTTCAAGTACAAGCTTGGTACGGTGCCAAAACCAAAAGCAAAAATAAATCATTCAACCGGTGGTGCAACGAGTACGATTAAAAATCCATCACCAATAATTGTATGTTCGGATAATGACACGTGGCGCAACGAGTACGATTAAAAATCTTATCGGAAATCCATCCCCAATAATTGTTTTTTCGGATTTTATGACAAGTGGCGCAACGAGAACGATTAAAAATCTTACCCGAAATTACAAATAAAATTATTTTGTATTATTTAATAGGGGCTTTTAGATCTAGGTCAAAAAACATAGATGGTTTTTAGGAGCGAGTCCAATTATCTAATTACATGTTTTTATTTCTTTTATACTCATTTTATATTTTTTTAAAATATTAACAAACAATTAAAATCTTCTAATATTATGCATTTTTCAACTCCAAAAAATCTAATTAATATCTTACAAAAAAAAAAACTAATATACTAACATAAATTATCTACAAAACATTGTACCTTAACTCAAGTAATAAATATATGAATATATATTATACCTGTACGCGAGATATGAAACCTAACTAAAAGGTAGGAAAAAAACATAATATACCTATAAGCAAGACACATGAATTTTTGACAAGTTGATTATAAAAAAGAATCTGTCATATAGATACATAAAAATAATTAACCTGTGATATAGGTTGATTATAAAAATTAAAAATAAAATCTATAAATGGGCAGGAGGAAGAACAAGAAATAACAAAAAATAAAAATAAAAAGAAATAATCAAAGAGATAATTAGGAAGAAATTTGATTTTTATAATAAATTTTCTCATTGAATAGATAATTATTGATAATAAAATAATTAAATTTAAGGAATTGGACTTATTTTAATAATTTGGACAATTTCTACTATTGGCTAAAAAAATTGGACTTATATCAAGTTTTCCCTATTTAATAATACTTCGGATAATGACACGTGGCGCAACGAGAACGATTAAAAATCTTATCCGAAATTACAATTAAAATTATTTTGTATTATTTTAAAAATGAAAAAAATACTAATATTTTATTGCCTATTACCATGGCTATTGAAGTGTAACGGTGGAGATGCAAAAGGCGATTACTGTTCATCAGGTGGATTGAATAGTGAATAGTCTGGGAGGAGGGCTCCAACGCTGGATTTGCTCTCATACAACGTGAGCTTTTTTGGTTCCTGTCCTTGTGCGCACTTTGGATTCATTGTGAAAAACAAGCGGCTATGCACAAGCTTGCGGCTCCACTTTGGATTATTTTTCAACAACTTCATAATTCTTATGACTTGATAATAGAAATTATTTGGAAGAATAAGATATTACATTCTCGCATGACAAAATAAATATACGAGAGAGACTTTATTTTTAAAATTTATCGAGATTTTAGGGCATCTTCAAAGAAAAAAAATACAAATTTGAGATGCAAAAATTATATTTACATTCCATTTTACATTTTTTGCATATGCAAATGAAGAATCTACTTCAATGAGAATGTAAATTTGCGATCCCAATTAATTTTCTTTCTTT